CTCCTCCCCCGCCCTCCTCCCTCCCTCCTTCCCCGGCTCCGCGCGGCGGCGGCGGCGGCGGCGCGGGCGGTGCTTCTTTTTAAAGCGGCCCCACCAAGCCCTGGCTCTGCCCCTCTCCAGGCAGCGCTGGAGCGCGCCGGCCGTGCACGGCTCCCGGCGGGCCCCGGCGGCCCGGAGGGGGATCTGCACGGCCGCCATGGGCCTGCGGACGAATATGCCCCTTTAAGCCTGGTGTCTCGCCCCCCCTCCCCAGCCGGGCGCTTACCGGTTCGCCTTGCGCCCTCCTCCTCCTCCCGCGAACGGGACTCCGGCGCTCCCACAATGCACCGGGCGCGGCCGGGCTCCCTTAAGCGTCGCCTGAATAAAAATGCCGCTCCCGGCGGCGGAGGGCGGGAGGGCCCCGGGCCGCGCCTGGGCGCCGCGGGGGCTCGGCCTGGCTCGGCGGGCCCCTGCCGGGAACGGGGCCGCCGTGCGCCGCGCGCGAGGGGCCTTTAAGGGCCGGCTACCTCCCTTTAAGAGGCGGCGGGCCGCGGCCCGAGCGGCTCGGTGGCTGCGTGCGGCCCGGGAAGGGGGCGGGGGCGGTGTGCAGGCCCGAGCGCGGCAATGATTGGTCTCGGGGGAGGGGTGGGGGGTTGCAAACCCGAGGAGCGGTGGCATCCGTTGCATGATGCAAAAAGGATTGATTTCAAAAGTTGCGAGTTGCATTGGCAGCCGCCTTTGGCGCCCAGGCCACCTACTTTTTCTTGACCCGCTGGAAGGGCCGGGAATGTTTTCCAAAACCTGGCCCGGCTCAACCGCGCCACGCTCTGCGGGTCGCTGTACCTGCTCCCCGAGCGCTCCCGGCGTGTTGTCCTGGAGGACAATGACCGTGGAAAGAATTTGAGAAAGATTAGGAGCAGAGGAAAAGCCGCCTCTGCTACAATGAAAGATTTAAAAGCAAACGGCGCGTTTGATTAATAATGACTTCACCGTCTCTCCCTTCTATTGTTTAGCCCGGCTCAGGAGTTAAGATGAGCCTTGGTGAATATGCACACATCCTGCAGTTTCTTGAAAGTTGAATACGCTTGGTAGGAAGTGAGAGCTTACGGATCCTCAGTTGCATTGTTTGCTCTTCACATGTCCAAGTAAACATGGCAGCCTAATACCCTATGGGTTTCAATTAACACCGATAGGAGAGCTTCGGCTTGTGAAATTACTTCTCTCAACTTCCTGATGCTCTGCTGATTGAAATAGAGCAAAAATGCTCTCATGCTACATCTTAGGGCTTCCCTTAAAACTGAGGAGTGTGGAGGAATGCCGACCAAACTTTTCTAGAGTGGTTCAGCATTTTCCAAATGTGTTTTTGAGCAGAAATGTTTTTGGCAACCGAACTGTGCTTTAGGTTGCGCGTCAGGTTTGCAGGGTACCGAGATGCCTTTTTCATTCTTAAAATTTCTGCTTGACAATTCCCCAGGGTTTTAATCTAAGGGAGGATGCAGAAGTGATGCAACCTAGAAGACCGGGCTGATACAGGCTCCTCCTCTCTGTGTCCTTTCTGTGTACTGTCGTAAGTTAGGAAAGAATGTAGTAGCCTAGCTTGAATGTGATTTGTTGGACTTTTGTAAGACTGGCATCACTGTGTGGTTGACACACCTGGATTTGCCTCTGAATCACCTGGGAAGACAGGTCCACACAATCTCCAGGCAATACTCCAGAATCAAGGAAGGATACGGATATCTTTATTCCCCTCATCCCTCCCCTTTTAAAATTGATTTTGTGAGTTGTTGGGTTTTGGTTTCGTTTGTTTCTCGGCAAAAAATGTCACAACTAGAAAAAAAGACTTTGGGTGATTAGGAGGAAGATGATTCGGCAGATGTGAGTAGGGCTCTCTGTGAAGGCGCGCATGTCATACCGAGAAGTTTGATATTTCTGTTGTAGTCAGCAAGAGTTTGTCAGATTTGTTGCTTACAACTTTAGCTTGTAACGATGGCTGTACCACATCTGGGAGGATGCCCTCTCCAGAGGGGAAACTAGGACCACATCTCTAGTTAGGAGGTAATTGTACTAGTCAAGCGTGGAGTCAGAGTCGAGGGTATTGGAACTGAAGCAGCGGGGAACGCAGACAGGGAAAGGGATTTGAGGTGATCTAGTGTGTGGTTGGAGGAAGAAGCATAAGATGACCCCCAGGTTTCTAGTTTTGGGGGCCTGGGTGGGTAGTGATGCTACTAACTGAAATAGAAACTACTGAAAGACAAAGAAGTTTTGGAGCGAGTTCAGCTTTCGAAATGTTAAATTTCAGGTGCCCGCCGGATAGTCTAGGCAGAAGGCAATTGGTAAAACTAGGTCTGGCGCTTGGGGTGGGGGTGGGTTCTGAGTTTGAGATGCAAACGTGGGTGCATCAGCATGTAAATGGGGTTTGAAGCCTCTGAAAGAGGTGAGATTAACCGGTAGGGAGAATGCAGGAAAAAAGTGACAGAGACCTTGGACAGAGCCCTGCCGAGCTCCAAAATTGAATGGCTGGGCGAGCAAGAGGCTGATCCTTGCTGAGTCTGTGGGAGGTTAGCATGCTCAAAATCATTCCTCCCCCAGCCCTGGGGGTTGCAGCTTGAGACACATTCTCGTGAGCAGAGGCTGTAGACTTTTGACTAAGCCACAGATGATCTCGATTCATCTAGAGTCAGTCTACAACCTTGGAGATAGATAACCCACCAGATCTCTTGTCCTTCCCTTCCTTTGCCCTAAACGCAAGCCTCCCTCTGTGCTTCCCCAGGTCAGTCTTCTTTCTCCTGCCATCCTTTCTATGAGCCTTCCCCAGTGGGCTCATCAGAGCCCTGTTCCTTTGGGAACCATCTCCCCTGGGTTCTCAGGTCCTACCGGCTCCACCTGAAAGATGGTTCCCCTGGGTTGCATTTCTTGCTGGAGGCTTGTTAAAAATACGAATTTACCAGCCCCACTCTGAAGATTATATCTAGCAGGTGCAATGGGTTGAATTATGACAAAGACTCTTTGCTTGACCAAACTTTAGTCAGGTTCATGAACCTTCTCCTAGGCCCAACTGTGCACTTCCTTGTAAAATTCAGTTTTAGCGAGAGTGATATCTGATCACCCTCAATATCTGATCATGTTCCTCATCCTCCACCATCCCCCCAGGTGACGTCTGATCACCTGGCCTGACTTCAGCAAGAATCCTGTTAGGTCGGTTTAGCCAGAACCCCTCTCACCCCTGATGTCTCTTAGTAATTTCCCGTCCACTGCCCCCCACCCTGCTCCTTGGTTATGAAGGCCCACTTGCCCATGCTGTGTTCAGAATTGAGCACAATCTCTCTCCCCCACTGCAAAATTCTATCACAGTGACCTATCACAATGGTCCTGAATCGTCTGCCTTACCATCTTTAACAAGAGTCATAAGTTTTTTCTTTAACAGTTGTGCCCCCGCCAAAAGATATATTGAACTCCTAACCTCTAGTACCTATGAATGTGGCCTTATTGGGAAATAAGGTCTTTGCAGATGTAATCAAGTTAAGGTGAGGTCGTACTGGATTAGGGTGGACTCTAAATCCAATGACTTATAAGAAATGAGAGATTTGGGGGCCAGCCCAGTGGCGTAGTGGTTAGGTTCACATGCTCTGCTTTGGTGGCCTGGGGTTCATGGGTTCAGATCCCAGGCACAGACCTATGTACCGCTTATCAAGCCATGCTGGGGCAGGCATCCCACATATAAAGTAGAGGAAGATGGGCACGGATGTTAGCCCAGGGCCAATCTTCCTCAGCAAAAAGAGGAGGATTGGCAACAAATGTTAGCTCAGGGCTAATCTTCCTCACCAAAAAAAAAAAGAGAAGGGAGATTTGGAGACAGAGAGGCAGGGAAGAAAGCCACATGAAGACAAGGCAGAGATTGGAGTGATGGAGCTACAAGCCAAGGATTGCCCGCAACTACCAGAAGTAGGAAGGATGCCCCCTAGAACCATCAGAGAGACCACGGCCCTGCTGACACCTTGATTTCAGACTTCTGGCCTCCAGAACTGTGGGAGAATACATTTCTGTTGTTTTAAGCCACCGTGTTTGTGGTATTATGGCAGCCACAGGAAATCAATACAGCATGTCTGAGGTGTATGTGGGGGTAAGAGGTGCTAAGAACCCACACTTTGGATGGGCTCCCCTGGTGGTGGTGATGCTTTCTCAGAAACCCAGAGGGCAGGAGGCTGCCTGTTCATCTGCTTCCCACACTCTCCTAGCTCCGTGACATTACTTTTCCTCTGTCCTGCCTTTCTTATGTCCTATCTGTCTTTAGGGTTCTTGCTATCCAGCATTCCACCATCTGTTTCCGGGTTGGTCACTTCCTTACATTGTTTGAGTCATACTCGTTCAAACATGGCCCCTGATCTGTCATCATGGAGGGTGGTGGGAGTGTGTGATCAGGAATAAGACCTGGTGGGCAATGGACATTTCAAATCTAATGACTTGTAGCTTCACTCCACTTAAGCCGCCCATTCTCGCAGCTGTACTAAGAACCTTCTCATTCCTGGAAATCTTAAGCACCAACGTCCTGCCTCCAATCCTACAGTCCTCTCATTTCTTTACTCCCTGACACCTGCACCTCAACCGCATGGGGGCCACCAGTCTCTCTCCTTCCATCCAGCCTGGATCCCTTGGGGCAGCTCAGCAGCCTGGTGTCCCGCATGTCCCCTTCTTTGGCCATACCCACCCTGAGACGTGCAGCCTTAGGTCCCTTCCACCCACCATCTTCTCTGCCCTTTCGCTAGGCTGGAGAAAACCTAGAACTTGGAGATCATGCCATTACAGATGTATGATCTCCGGTGCCAACTGGGCTTTTCCGACAGCTGGAAAATCCTTAAGCATGTTATCCTAATGTTTATTATTCTCCCCAAAGTCTATACCACACTTTCCTGCCCTCAATAGCAGATGCACCTCAAGAAGAAAATGTACACCATGGAAGGAAACCTCCAACTTTCCCATCCCGTCCCCACCCCACCTCTCTGACCGTCAGGCCAGTGTCTGGGAGGACCACCTCTGACTGTCCAAGGCTGGTCCCCTACCTGTGCTCCAGCTGCCGCCCCTCCAACAATAACTTTTGCTGAGGACTTACTACGTATGTACCCCACAGTACGGAGTGTTTTACAAACATCATCTCCTAGGCTTCTCGCCACATCCCGGTGAGGTAGGTCCTATTGTGTGTTTTCCTGAGGAAACCAGGGCTCAGACTGATTAAGGAGCTTGCCCAAGGTCACTGTCTTACTTTGGGTTCTCCCCAGGGCAGATCTGGAGAGGAAGATTTGCGGGAAGGAAGTTCTTTGGAAGGTGATTTCAGGAAGCATAAGTCAAGAAGTGGGCATAAAGAAGTGGGCATAACAGGAAAGGGAGAAAGCCAAAAAGGATGTAAATGAGTAGGTTACCATGGTGGACAGCGGGGCTCAGCCCTGTTGGCGCCTCTGAGAAACTGCATGGAATCCCCTCTGGTTGGCAGAATAATGCACCTCCACAAAGATATCTATATCCTAATCCCTGGAACCTGTGACTATGTTCCAAGGTAAAGAGGAATTTAGGTTGCACATGGAATTAAGTT